AACACGCAAAAACACGTTTTTGAAAATTTCTTAGAATCTTCTGGACAGATCCGAAAACAAACTATCAGTTCCCCATCAAGAGACCGACACACACCGAATGACACATAATGTGTCTCAATTGGTGAACGGGTAATTGTCTAACCGTGACTGACGGCTCCGCACACACGCACACTAGCGCACTTGCAGTTGGTACTACACAGTTACAAAGTACTTTTTACTAGTAAAAGGTACTGTACTATTAAGAAAGGAGAAGTTATGAAAAAATCTTATTATAAAATTCCCCGATTGGGTTCATAAATTATCCGTTCAGAGAATCGTCTCTCACTAAATGGTCCGCTCTACTGAACTCTGACGGTGCACCTTTAAATGCGCCTCGTCTCGTGTGCGCGGCCGCGCAGCGCCGTGTGCACGCAGGGTAGGCAACCCGCGGAGCGGAGCTGCGCTGCGGGCGCGGCGACGAATCCGGTGCCCCTGCCGAGACGAGTGCACCTCGCTCGCCACTTCCCGCCCGCACTCGGAGCAGCCGCTTCCTCTTCAAATACCAACGCAAATGAGCTCAACGACCGATTCCATACAACGACATTCGCATTAGATATGTAGGAGGCTAAACAGTCATCTTCAAAAACGATGATAGCTAGGGGTGGATTTTGATTGCCTAAAACATCCCCAAAAATTATCAATAATATGCCCTTAAAATCTTTTTAAAAATCCCCTAAAAACGAAGTAAAATGAGGTAACAATTTGATCGAAAGCAGTTCATATGAACAACTCAATGTTGGATATGTCTGATGTAATCAAAGTCACAAATATAATTAAATCGGCGACAAATACTTTAAAAATGACGGAAAAGGTAAAAAAATTAGTCATTTCCTTTGTTATAACTTAACATTAATGTCCACGCTAAAAGGCATTGTTCTAAAGTGAAAATAAAATACGTTTCATTAAAATCCGCCTCTAATCATAAACATCTTATTTTACCTATTGTTCCTTCCTGTAAATTTTGTATCTTATGGAATTTAGCTCTACAGTAACTACCTTAAAGACGTTACCAAAAAAACATTAATTTTCAAATGTCAGGTTCAAATGATTATGATAATCCCAAGAGCACAGAATTCAACATTTTACATCGAACTCAAATATGTAGCGCAAAACTATGAGATTTTTTCAAACGCTTTAAAATTTACTTTAACCATTACACATTTTCGCGTGAATGCGTATAGTACTTAATATTCCACAACAATATCACACATAAGGACACAAGTGCACTTTTGTAATAATCGTCTTACTTTAAATATACATATAGTGTCATTATTCGCCTTATTCATGAAATGCATGAATGAAATTAAGAATTGATGAATAGTTGTAAAAATGTTAACATAATCACATCAAGTCTGATTTCAATTCATCGTCGGAATAACCCCAAATAAAGACATCAAAGAAGCCAAATGCGTAACAGAAAATATTTTAGTATTCTCAAAGAATAAGGATAAGACGTAGGGAACTTCAAAAGTAGTAATAAAGAAATTTAAATAATTTAATTACGAAATTGCGAATATAATTAATTACATATTCTAACACGATCTTTCTTCTGCAAAGAGGAACCTCAATTACCAAACTTCTTAATGTATTCTTTGAACTTTTCTGGAAGTTAGGGAGAATTGCTTCAATACTCTGATGTTAAAATACAGTATCGGATATTTGCCTTCAGGTAATATTTCAATACATTTTTGTTTTTTCCTTCCTCTTATAAATCGTTCAATCAGGTAATGAAATTTGAAAATTTAGAACTTTCATTACTATATTGTAAATAAAACAGACGTGATATATTTGCATTTAATTGTTTCATATGAACAAACGACTTATTTAATTAATGAATATTTTAAATGAATAATTTAAACGAATTCATTCCCCACGTAGAATTTTTTTACTGCTCTTTGGCGTCAAAGACCTTAAAAGACGCGGATCTCCTTTTCGTTAAAATCTCTCATTTTTCGAAAGGTGTGAACATTTTTTCAATAATGAAGAAATATACTCTTTCGATAATTAAAAATGTCGTTGAAAGTCAAATCTTAAAATAAGTTCAAGTACATTGTTTGGAAAATGAGAGTAGTTTTTAATAATTATGTAATTATGCCTGCAATGTAAGGAATGTTAAAATAAATATTCTCTCTTTCCAAACTTTTCCAAACTTCACTTCCAATTTTTTTCTTTAAATTTTAATCCTCTTACGAAAAGAAACTATAAACCGATCTGCACAAGGAGTGGCGCTATTCCCAATTTCAGAAAATTCTAGTTTTTTTTCGAAAACTATCAAAAATTAACAATGAAAGAGTACAATAATTAAGATAGAATATTTTTCTGAAATTGAATCTGTTCTAGAAAGCCAGATCTTATAAAAAGGTCATTTTTTTAAAAAACTAGTAACTTTCGCGTAATTTCTGCATGAAGTTAATGCTATTTATGAAAAAACATTTTCTCAAAATCGCTCCATTTTTTCACGAATAGCGCAAAGGTCAAGATAAAAATTTAGCAAAAACTGTCAACATATTCAAAACTTAATTCTCAAAATACCTATCGTCGTGCTACTTTCATTTAACTTAAATCTAATTCTCAACACTAGTACTCAGAAAAAACTAGTTCACTAGTATCAATAAACAATAATAGTGTTCGTAGGCTTCCGCGGCAGGAGTCAATAATAGTAATGAGTAAATGAATAATATTAGTATACCTTCTAGTAACATGCAATATAATAACTAGTACACGTAATAATTAGTACATGTAGTCACTAGTACATGTAATATAAGAGTAAGATAAAACTAAATACTTATGTCAAAAGTCAATAACATTATATCGTGTAAAATAATAGTTAAGTAGTATAGCAGTAAGATACAGCGGTATATCTTGATGTCAGAAAGCAATAACAAATCAGCGTGGCAATAATGTTCCATCATTTCAAATCAAGATTTGGTCTTACAAAAGAGATAAACCAGACAGGAGCGGTCAACTCGGGAAGATCGCAGCTCCACCACAGTTCGAATCGACGAACTCGTCCCCGCCTCTCCCTCCCGCCCTCCCTACCTCCCGCTCTCCCTACCTCCCGCCCTCCTGCCGCCATCTTCCGAACAGTTCCTCAAATCTCCAATAGCCCTGCGGATCGGCAGCAGGGCCACGTTCATTGGGTGATTGAATCGGCCTCAAATTGGCTGAGAAGAAATAGAAAAAAAGAGCGGCAAGTGGCTAAAAGATAGGCATCGGCTCTCGGAAAGGAAGTCCCAGGAACGTCTGGTGAGTCGGTGAACGGTCACCGAATAAATTTAACTACGTTCACGATTAATACAAAGTTTAAAACTATGTTGAAAATAACACTGCGTTACAATTTTTTTACAAGAAATTAGGTACCCACTTCAATTGTTGCTGTTTATTCATTTACACATATTGCTTAATAAGAACACATAAGTACTTTTTTCCAATCACGCACTGTTTTTGGGTAAGGTAATTAACAAATATTAATAAAAACATTGAAAGGTGGAACAGCTCTCAAAAATATTTGAAGGTAAAAAAATGAGAATTAACAAAATGAATTTTAATGACATCCCACATCGCATCATTTTATATGAATTTAATACATTTTTCACCAAAAATTCCGCGTTTTCGGATCTGTGATTACCTAAAAAACATTTATCACGGCGTTAAGCGATATTCATGTCATGTCGGCACACATTTAGTTTTTGATCGATTTTGGGTTTTTCATTAACGGTCGTATTTGTGAAACGATAAAAATCCCATCTTTTATCTTTGCGTCATTTTATTGAAAGAAAGACTATAAATATAACTATTGGTTCTACAGAACGGCACAGACTTTCTCATATTCGTTTTCTATTTCCTTTTGTCTCGGCTATCTATTCGGACTTTCCACATACTTTTGCCTGCTGCCATCTATCGCCTCTGAAAGTACATTTTTAGTTTCCTAATTTTTCCGTTTCCTAATAGTAGATTGGAAATATTATTTTAAGAATATGAAAGAATAGTAAAACCTTTTCCTAATAGGCAATTTTCTTTGCAAAATTTCAAGCCATTTCTTAGAAACTGACGTGTAGGCATTACAGTATGCAAAATTTGAAGCTCTTTTCACAGAAATTGTTTGAGTTTCCGATGAAATTCATTCGATACAAATCGCTAGAAATGTGCATTTGAACACCGTAAGAGATCTTTCAGAAACAATTACATTTGTGTCATTTTGAAAAAACGAAAAATGCCCTAAAATTAACTTTACATTATATCAAAAAGTGTAATTGTTGGCGCAATCCGTTAGAAAAGTTTGAAGAAAAAAAATTGAGTCGTTTTTTAGAAAATAAAGTTTGAGCGTTTCTGAAAATGTGAAATTTTGAGCTAGTTTTCACAGAAAACTGTTGAGTTTTCGAGAAACTTTATATGACATTATTTAATGCACATGTGCTCATTAATAAAATAATGTCAACAAATTGCCGCGAAACAAGTATTAACGACCTCAGAGGCAAATTAATATTACATGAAAACTACTAAAACTTTCAAAAAAATACGCATGACCTTAATGTATAACTGATAATGGACAACAAATTTTATACAAATGGAAAACCTCCACCCACAATTTTGTTGTTATAGGAAGACAGGGAAAAAATTCAAACATCTACAATTTTCTGTGTTTAATCGTAAAAATCTGACCTATGCCACCTTTATAGGTCTGAAGAATGGCTGCCATTCCCTAAGAAACCTCCCAGCACCTGATTGAAAGGACGCCTGCAAGAGTGAAAGCTGTCATCAAGGCTAAGGGTAGGCCAACGCCTTATTGAATTCCAAGCATTACCGATGGAGGGCGCCATGAACTGATAAGTCATTTTCAACCACGTGTCCGGATACATTTGATCACGTAATGAAGGTAGATGCGAAAATCCTGCCGCGCGCCGTCGGGCCCCCAGCCGCATGCATGCCCTGGTGGCCGCGAGCGGTCGCGGCGCACTCACCAGCAGCGTGGCCTGCTCCTCGTCGCGCGGGCAGAGCGCCGAGGGCGAGTTGCGCGGGTTCTTGTAGACGCGGCCGTCGTCGTCCGCCTCGGCGTCCGCCTCCGCCGACGAGTCCGCCTCGTCCGACGCCTCCTCCGACGGCGGCGCCGTCGCCGTGAAGCGCTTCGCGGGCCCCGCGCGCCGCCCCTCTGCAACACACACACACGCGCGCGCACTCAGTCAGTGGACGAAAGAAAGAAACAAATAAATTAACGAGAAAATAAATAAATACATAAATAAATAAACACATAAATAAATAAATAAATACATAAATAGATAAATACATAAATAAATGAATACACACATACATACATAAATACATAAATAAAAATAAACAAATTAAAAAATTTACCGAACAAGTTGACAAAATGGTGTTGTTAAATAGATAATGGATTGTTTCTAACGAACTAAAAGATGTTTTTCCGATTAATATACTTTCTAGAATAAGTAAAGTAGAAAGTTAGAAAATAAGACATAACTGTACCGTCCTTTTTTTGTTGTTGCTGTTGATTTACAATACATTAAATTTTCTTTCTCTATTTTAGTTCTTTTATTGTGTATGTCTTTTTTCTCCTTTTTGTACTCCAAATCCATTGCTCTGTAGATTTTTATTTAGTATGGTTATTTAATTATGTTAGTATTTTTGTGTGTTGTAGTATAGTGTGTTAGAAGTATAGTATTTAATTATGAAAGTAATACAAAATAAATATTATTATAATAAATAAATGTTATTATTGGTAGCAATATTCAGACCGTTGAGGCTTCTTTTTTGTCCGATTTCAATCAAAAGTTTAAATCAATAGTCATTCAAAGAAAACACGAACGCTATTAAGTAAAAGAGTTTTTCACAAATGTGACAAGAGTCAAAACGAGTGAGGTCGGACTTGATTGAAAGAAACACCCCCACTGCACTTGTAAGAGTGTATTTATTAACTTAAAGTTAGAATTGAATATAAAATTAATCAGAAATATATCAGGTGTATAAATTTGTAAACACTATGAGATTTGAAATGTCTACGAGATTTTATAAATATTTGGATGTTGCTTTTTATTACTCTAATTGTATAATTCTGTCATTTGATATCTGCAATCCGTTGCATAATGATACTCAGTACGATTCAGATTCACGACCAATCACTTAGAAGGTAACAAACATTGTATTGACACTTATTAATCATTGAGAATCGTGAGAGCGTAGGCTTCCACGGCCGGAGTCAGTATTTACTTGGCTGTCCAGGTGACGCCGCGTCCATGGTGAAGGTATAAGGTGCTAAATATTGAGAATCGTTCTTACTAGAACGACTAATGTACACAATACTTTGTGTACATTAATATGGCATTTAATATAATATTCTGCTTGTCAATTTTAATTTATTTAATTAGTAGTACTTTTTTAAATGGAATATTATTTAAAATAAATTGGATCGTAAGTTTACTTTGTTTCTATTTCACTAGCATAGTCGAAAATTGAAGCCACCTGCGGCGGGCAGGGTAGATAGAGCGCTGTCGGCGGGTGGTCTTGACTGAATTCTTCATGTTAACTGCCACAAAACGATTCAATGTGAAAGTTTAACTCACAAAAGTTAAATTTAAGTTGTAAAAAAGTGCCATATGAAACTCGATGTAATAAGTAATACACTCGTGTGAAGTGATTCTCAGAATTTAGCAAAACCCCAGTCACCTCTCACATGATCGGAGGCTGCATAGTTTTCTTTCAAATTCAACGTGTCATGAAAATTAGTAATACAATGCTTGTGTAAATTTTATTACTCTCTACGCTCTTTGGAGATAAAAATATAATTAATAACGTGCTACATTATTTACTTATTATAAAACGTAACAGATAATTTAGAAAATCCAAAAGTATTGGAACAGTATTCTGATAAATTCTATGTTTAAAATGTCCTCTTAATCTAATTATTATTTTTGGAATTATTTTCATAAAAGTGGAATTATAAATAATAGGTTTTTGCCAGTGGATTGGGAAAGCTTTTTGCTTCGAATGTCCAGTAATGAGTGTGAATGTAAATAACACATTAATACTTCAAACACAGTGCTCTTAAAAACCTTAATTTTTAATATGTAATTTCAAAGCGAACGCGAACATGAAACTGGAAACAAATACTAAAATCAGTTTTCGGGTTTCCCACCACATGCTATGCTCGGTCGAGTGTTCGCGTATTAAAAAATATACAGATTATCTTAAAAAAGAAAGTGCACGCCCGTACCACAGTAAAATATTAATCCATCAATCAATACGACCCTTTTTTGTTTTAAAGTCGGCTTTTTCCAGCAGTGACTGAGCATCTGCGGCCGCGTAGCGGAACGGCGGGCGATTAAATTATGCATGCAAATGCGAACCGCGGGCGGCCCCGTGCGGGACCGCCGCACGACTTCGCGACTCCCACAGCAGCAGACCGCGCGGCGGCCGCGACCCCAGGTGCCTTCCGCCCCCACCCCACCGCCCCCGCGCCGGCTTTGTCGAAGGGACGCGCGGGCTGCGGCCGCCGCAAAAACCCCGCAACGCACTTGTCACGTCCCGAAGCGCTGTATTTTTGCCCGCAGCCGCGCAACGGATGGCAGAGCGTGGAAGGGTGTGACGGAGGAGGGTGGCGGTGGACGGCACAGCGTGGATGGGGCGCAACAGAGGGTGGCGGTGGTGGCGGTGGACGGCAGAGCGTGGAAGGGGGCGCCACAAGGTGACGGTGGATGCCAGAGGGTAAAAGGGGCGCTACAGAGGAGGGCGGTGGACGGTAGAGCGTGGAAGGATGGGCGGCACATAAGGTGGCGGTGGACGTCAGAGCGTGAAAGGGGCGCAACAGAGGGGGTAGATGGCACAGCTTGGAAGGGGTGCCACATGGGGTGGTGGAGGTGGCGGCGGAAGGCACAACGTGGAAGGATCGCGACGGAGGGGGCCGCCGCAGAGGAGGAGGCTGAGAGAGAGAAAGACAATCAACAAAGAGACAGAAATGCGACAAGTGGGGAAGAGAGCTAAAGAAGCTGTTAAAGAAGTCTACAATTCAATAAGAGAGAAACAGAAGATTTTAAGAATACCGTAACGAAAACGAAAACCATAGTAAATCGTAAGGTGGAAGAGCAGTTCAAATGAAACCCTCGGATCAGGAAGGAGAGGGCGGAGTTTGGACCAGGGAGGGTACAACTGGAAATATTGCGAATAGACATTGAAATGTGTGTGTGGTTAACCTGAAGAAAGAGGGTTAGGTTGGATTTGCGGTGTGCCCACTACGCTCCGGAAGCGCTAATGCAATAGGTGGAAGTGCCGTGAGCGGAATAATTTAGGATGATATACCAAAGGAGGAAGGGAATTCATACGAACGTTCTCGTCGTAGATACAAGACTCTTCAACTATCTCTTCACCGTTTGATGAAATTACACGAGCTCCGCAAACTCTTTTCTTTGTCCCTCACAATCTCTCTCTTTTTTTTGTTGTTACTTAAGGTAGCATCAACATCTATGTCATTATCGGCCACTATTGGATTTAATTGTATGGTAACGGTGATGATGACATGATGTGGTGGTGATAGGGGAGAAAGGACGAACACAAATTCAACCATGTCCGAGGCGGGACTCGAACCCGTGACCCTTCAGTCTGAGATCACTATGAAACTAACGATATCAGCCGGCCGGACGATACAATCTCATATTGAATTGGTGTTAAGTCATGTGTTTATCATTCGTTGAACGGAACTTTTTTTATGGAATTCATAAAACCATTAATGCTCTATCGAACGCGTACACGTAGCGGAAATTGCAGTGTAGAGCAATGACGGTGGGAGCAAATTATGTTGTGGAAGTGCTCGGATCCAAAGTGCAATGGAATTGGTCCGCAGCATTCTCGGAACTTGAGGCAGCTGACGGCGGGTCGTCCTCTCCCACAGAACAAATATTTGGAAAATTGGCAGAGAGCCCTTTGCGGAGAACACAAGCGAGAGAGAAAAAAATGATTGACGTCTTATTTTTTTAGAAAGATAGATGTGAAATTGCCTTGACCGAACTCGCTGAAATACGTCCAAAGGTTCTAGTTGGCGAAGAGTTCTTGAAATAACTCACAAAAAAGCGTATAATTTAATAAACAATATTACTATTCCACTTATGAAATGAAAATAAGGTTACCGAATGCATTTGATGTAAATCAATCAGAACAGTGATGCTAAAAAAAGTATAGAATTTTCCATCTTCTCCTTCCTGCCCCAGCACATGAAGCGTATGCAATGATTTTCGTTACAAGTTATTTTTTATTTTGGTTTGTTTGTAACGGTTTTGTTAAGTACATTTTTGATTCAGGCTTGTTTCGAACTGATTCTCACTTTTAGATTATAATATGGCATGTGACCATGCGTATAGTGAACAGAGCAGAACAGTTTGATGCATGTAGTAAAATAACTGATTGAAAGTTCTTAAATATCTCGCATTAACGTTCATGATGTATTTTAATCGGCTTTTCAAATATCATTCTTGAACATTCCAACCACATACCACTTATGCGTTGTATATTCACGCATATCTCAACATTATCGTCAAATATGTTTTCTATAAATGTATATCAATTTCTTAGATAGAAAAAAATTAAAGTTAGGTGCATTTAAATAGTCATTGCCGCCATGTCGAATGGTAATTTTTGTACTTTTCCATATTCCATTAATTCCCAAAATTATTTTAGCTCTTATTTAAAAGTATATTATCACGTTAGTACACAAATAAATTAAATTGTATTAAAACATATTTTTGCTCCAGTTTGAAAAGAAGTTAACTTTTATCTGTTTTAGCAACGAAAATAAAATTCAATTAAAGATAAACTTTCCCTTAATATTGGCGTTGACATAGCTCTGTTTTGACCCCACAATACGGAAACCTACTTAAACGATATAATATTGGCACATTTTATAGAAAACCCTTTTGTTTTTAATTATTAGAATACACTGGATTAACACACAGAAACAGAAAAAGCTCACTCGTGAAAAAAGCCAACTCATTTACAAGCCAACCGTAAATTTGAAAGCAAACACGCGCTTCCAAATTCCCTTTTACTGCTTATTCCATGGTATTTATAAGACAGTTTTTACGTATGCTTCTGTTTATACTGTCACAAAAACTCATTTTTTTCTAAAAATACATCTACAAAATACGAAAAATTTAACATGTTCCTTCTTTAGATAGCTTTACTTGCAAAACCTCTCTATTAATTAACCTGCAGACGGTGGGATCGTTGGCTTCCGCGGCCGGAGTCAATGCATTCTTCGCTATCCAGGATGAGCCGCGTCTCGGTCAATGTTACTGCACTTTCGGCCATTTTCCTGTGGCCTTCTTCAGAGCTATACTGAGTATAGCTATGCCGAGTAGAGCTGTACTGACTATAGCTCTGAAGAAGGCCACAGCAAAATGGCCGAAACGTCAGTACAAATGACCGAGTCGTGGCTCATCCCCGATAGCCAAGAATGCACTGCAGATGGTGGTTGAATTCCAGTACCAATCAAGATTGTTTCGCCAGTCAATGCCAGCACGCCCGACCGTAAGCCACTCTTGCCGTGACGCTTGCCGATGAGTTTGATTTCCGATGTTCAACTTCTAATTTGTAAAGGCAGTGTACTATATTTTTTGCTTATCTGCACCTTCTGCTTTATTTTAAGATAAATGTGATCTTGTTAAGGTAATCGATGTTGCTATACAAGTTTTTTACAAATATTTTAAAAAATTAATGAACATTGCATTTATGACAATTGGTTTACAAAAGGCGAGTATTAGTCATTTTTTTGGTTGTGTATTATCAACAACGATGGATGAACACATTCCAACAGATTTTTTTGGAAAAATACTATTCTTTTATTACATGAAACGATGACAATGGAATTTAAGTTGGCAGGCGGAATTTAAGGCGGTGCTCCCTCGTACCCTGGCAACGCATACACTGTTTACCAATGAAGGCTGAGTACGATCCTAGGCCAACTCACGTGGAATCCTTGTGATGGATAAAGCGATTGAGTTATTTGTTATTGCGTGTTTCCGGGCGTGTCAATTGTTGACTTCATTAGTCCTGTAAGTTTAGTGATTTTGTTTCTTCTGAAAGTGGGGGAGACCTCCCACTGAATGGTAGATCCGACAAACTCCTCGTCTGCTTCCGTTCGTTTAAGTAGGATTCCGTATTTTCAGGTTAAAAGAGAGTTATGTCAACCCCAATATAGTTAATAAAGAAAAATTTATCTTTAATTTTATTTTTTTACGTTGGCAAATAAGATAAAAGTTATCTTCTTTTCAAACTGGAGCAAAAAGAAGTTTTAATATATTTTAATTTATTTGTGTATTAACGTGCCGTTGTACTTTTAAACAAGCGTTAAAATCATTTTGGGAATTAACGTAATATGGGAAAGTATAAAAATGACCATCCAACATGGTCAAAATGGCCAATATGACTATTTAAATGGACATAACTGGTAGCTCCAATCAGATATCTCCGCACCAGCAGGGCACCGCCCCATCAGAGCAACGTTCTGAGCGACAAGCAACATGCAACACTCACATTCACTTTTAATCTTTATTTACGAAACGCATTCTTTCTCACATACACGCAGGACCCCACAAATACTCTACGCACAACCTCAGACAAGGGAGCGCTCATGGAGCAGCCGCTGGGCCGACTAGGGCCGGGTAGGGACGCAGTATCGACAACAAACGTTTCTAAACATCGATGCTCAAAATTAAAATATCTATGTTAATTAAACTCCGACCCAAAATTATCCATGTTTTTAATCATCGATGTTTATTAAAACTGGATTAGAAATAATTGAAGTTCACGCGGGGAGGATTTAATTTGAAGAGGCCTCATTAATTAATTTTTAATTGAGGCTTAACTGACAAAACCCAAAAAATCATCAGGACAATAAACGCAATTTCGATTATCTGATTCGATAAATCAAAAATAAATACAATAAATACGGTTACAATACAATAATAAGTTTCTTTTTTGACGAAACGGCGATTTTATATATTTTCACCCTTCATCACCTTCATCTTAAGAATATTCATTTTATAGGTAACCGAAAATTACAATAGGATTTTATTAAGGTAGAATTTAATTTAAAAATATAAACTACAAAAAACATGGAACACAAAACACGTTACGAAATCATCGGCTTCCAAAATTAAATGTTATATACATCAACGATACCGGGAGAGGGGGCTCAGGTCATCAATTGACGTCATTACAGTGCCTTTGATCGGGAGGTCCTAGTTTCGAGTCCAGAGGGAAGTAGGATTTTCGACGCTAGCTTGTCAGTTAGGTCGAATTCAGTCGCTGTCTTAAGGAGAACTCTATCCGAGGCTTCTCGCATCGATTGTTTTCCGTGGTTGCTTTGATCAGTACCAGGCGAATGCCGGAGCAATATCTTAACACCGACCGGACGCGATATTTTCTTCCTTCGCCTTGTTCTCTCCCTTACTTACACACATTTACACTTGCATGCACCACACTACCACACATGTTGGGAGACCAGTCAGGAGCTTAGAACTTGTCCCGGAAGCGCCGGTTCCCCGTCGGTGGGAGATACCCAGTTGGGGAAAATCCCTTTGGACGGCGGCGGATCTCACCATCCAGCAGGGGAAGATCACCTCTACCTCTCGATGAAAACACATACACTATACTTACGAGAGTAATGACGAGACGTTTACGCGCCGAGACCCACTAATCAATCAATCAATCAAAATCAAAATACATCGATGGTTTTATAAAAAACATCGACGTTTTAAAGACTCTGAGATCAACGTCTAACCGCTACCAGAAGGTACGAGTCTGTGGATACTCGTAGTATGGTCCCTGTGCCTCTAAACGTGGACGCATCACAACTCACAGCCACTTCAATTGGATGTCTAAACTTTAATTACAGGAAAATTTTTTCACTGGAAGCCATTATTCTTCCCCCACTGATAAGAGCTCCTGGCCAGCAACCGTAAACCTCAAATGTGCTTTCTGAACCAACTACTTCAAAGAGTTATACACTTTCTAACAAATTTTAATTGGAGTATGTTGATGCAAAAAATTACTTCGGTTAAGACGAGTTTAATAAAACTTTCATTGGAGATATTTTTTTCAGATATTGATAAAAATGAAAATTATTTTTTATACATTGGGTTCAGCGCAAAATAGTAGTATGCGTGTTGATAGAAATATGACAAAAATATGACAAAACAGTGTAAATTATATAATAATAACAATTTTCAATAATGAAACAAATAGGCGACATACATCATTACGAAAAACTCAAGCCTTTTTGTACATCATCAATTCCGGAAAGAGAATCTTGTATTGAATGGAGGGTAAGCCATTTTCAGTACCCACGCAATGATCAAGTTTTCTTATCGTAGAATTCGAAAGATGTAGATAACAGTTTTTTTCTGTGTCAGTACACTCTGTGGATGTAGATAACAGTTTTTTCAATCGAGGAAACGTGAATGATCAACTAATTCTTCAAAAAGATGGATATTGTCATCAGTGTCTCCTCGGATGAGACTGCAATTACAGAAAAATGGTAGACTTCAAAAAATGAACACAAACTTTCATAAAATGATCGTAATATACACATATAGCACTTCATAAATAAATGTACTGTTAATTCTTAAATATATGCATTTGTTCTTCAATTATTTTGCAATTTACTCTGGAGTTTACGGTAGACATCCTTCCCCCTATTCATGTTCTCCAAGTACCTGAATGGTATTGGAATGTGACTTCTTCTATTCTCGTGTTCTATTTAGACGAGAAGATGTCCAACTGGGTGGCCGAGGTGGCTCAGAGCATTAACCAACTCAGCAGTACGGTCCGAAAAGTCACGGGTTCGAGCCCCGCCTTGGGTATGGCTGTTTGTTCCTTGTCTCTCGTGTTTGTGTTGTCGCGGAGGGCTTCGCATTCTGCTAACCCCAGTTCAGAGGAGACCACAAGAGTGTTGGTGTATGTATGATCGCATAAGCAACCCATTGGCACGTAGAGGGTGTCGACTGGATATAGTAATAGGAAAAAATAGATAATAAGATGCATTCGTTTCCGCAATTAACATTATCCATGAACTGCGCCAACTCCAGATGAGACAGGGCACGGTCATTTTATAGGTTCGTTAGGTTTTATCCTGCAGCGCTAATGGAAAATGGATACAGGAAACTCGCTAGACGCCGCAAAATCTCTAAAAGTCTTGTGATTTAGACTCCTTTGTGTTTTGTCCCCACAGTTCTCACATGTTAAACTATGTAGCTCTTCATATGCCAAACCTTTGGCAAAATAACCTCCAAATGCAGGTATTGGAAAAGCAAGTGGGAGTCAATTGTTGACATATTTACATTCAATCACATAAATGCGGCCTTGTGCATCTCTTCAAGATCAGAAAACATGCGTACTTCACCGCCATACCTCATCCGTGCGCTGTAGGATGCCTCTGATAAATGGGTTTAGAGGCTATTCATCGCTTGTCGTGAGGCCAAAGAACGACGGGGGAAATGCTTCGCTGTTCTGACCGGAGCCCCTTTTGAACGACAATTCCCCTCGCTCGTTTACTTACACGCTGTTAATATTAGATTCCCTCTATCCCATTTCCACTGATCTCTTCACAACCCAGTCTTCCCTCTCCAACATATCCTTCCCACATTACCCACCGCTCCTGGTCCCCTCCACCTCCCTTCTCTGGGCATCAATTGATGTCATTGCAGTGCCTCTAGCTCGAAGGTCCCAGTGTTTCACTCTCGACTGTGGAAAGATTTTCGACTCTAGCTAGGAATTCAACTTCTATCTGGAGGATAAGGGCGACCAAAGGCTCTGATCGATAGTTTTCCGTGGTTTCTCAGTTCAACATCAGCCGAACGCTGGAGCAGTCCCCTACCAAATAGGTACGGACCTCGCACAATCCTACCTACCTGTTCTTTGTTCTACCCTCACTCCTCACTTACACACACGTACACTCACATGCACTACACTACCACACATGGCGGAATCTAA